CTGGCTCCACGCCCAACACATCTTTCTAATACAATCCTTCTGCCTCCACCATGTAACAGTCACCAGGATCATTCTCCTCCACACCCCTCGGGGACACATAATTCAGCAAATAACCCCATACCAAAACAGATGCCAATAAGAACACGAGGACAACTTCCCACACGCTTCCGAGACTTTATCATGAATTAATCACCCAAATATACACGAATAACGCTCACTGTAAATCAGACCGAGATCTGGGGGAGCCTTGTTATAAAGTAAAATAAGACATATCTCGGCTGATTTACAGGCAAATACTCAAGAGCGAGATCCAGATGTGGACGGGACAAAACCCCGTCACAAAATGACCATTATCTTCATTTACAAATGTTCCCAACACACGTGTTCCGGTCGAAAAATAAAATAATATTTAAAGTGTTCTATTTTTCGTCCAATAAAAATGCTTCCCACCTAATTATACTCGCTTCGTTTTTCAAGCCTGTTAAGCCATAAAAAACGCTATAAAAGGGGTCACACGGAAGTTCAACATGCGGTCACAGGTGCCCAGGGTAGAGACCTGTCACGGTCAGCAGCTGACAACCACCGTCAACACGTGTGAACTACTATGAGAGATCGACCTAGATCCGAAGCCGGCTTATGAACTTTACAACAAGGTAGCTGTCCCAAACCCACACGTTCCTGTTGAAATAAACCACGTAAATCTATTTCTGCTGTTGTCGTATTTCTTTTTTGCAACCATACGCTTGTCTCTAACAATTGCATCTAGCATGAAACAGATTGTCGCCTCTATGTGTTGACTTCTATGTTCACTTTTATATTTACACACGCTCTTTCTCTGATATTGAGCACTTTATCCCATAAATATAGCACATCTTAAGACTATATTTCTTCATATATATATATATATATATATATATATATATATATATACACACACACTTCCACTCAGACACATCGCATTCTCTCACTTGTATGAGCCAGGACTTTTACACTTGAACACTTTAAACTTCAACTTTCACCTTATTCTTTTGTATATTGTTACATAGTTATATAAAGAGTTATTTTGTATTTATTAACTTTCTGTGCATTTTCTTTTAATCATTACACAAGGCCAATATAGAGCCAAATATAAGTTACCATAACTGATAACCCATCATATTATCATATTATTTGTTGTAGTAAGGATAATATTAACTGGATTAATGCTGATTTTGAAAAATAGGATTAACAAAGTGAATCAGTTGATAATGCCAACTTTGTTAACAGGATCTCTGAGTGTGAAGCTGATATGATTGATTTAGGCGACTTTAATGTGTAAAAAATTTGTTACTTGAAAAAAATAAAAGAGACTTGAATCAATCACTTCATATTTTGTGTATTCTTATTCATATGAAGATGATATTGAAATGATTGATTTAGGGAACTTCGATACAAATGAAATTTATTATCATAAAAAAAGTTATTTTTCAAAATATACAAGTAGGGAAATTTTAATGAGGTCATTAAATCATTATTTTTTGATTAAACATTAATAAGCAAATGCAAAGTAGTCAGAAAGCAAAATTTTTAAATTACATCACCTAATATATCCACTATATCAGAAAAAAGGAATTACAGTGGAAGTGCTTATTAATACCGATGAAAAATATATAGGTACATCAATAAGTCTGTAACGTAATGATAGGAAAACTGATGTCATCATTTCTCAACTTGATATGTATGCTGATGACAACTATTTACTACTGTCTTAATGATCACTTTGATAAGGTCAAATTGGCAACTGATCTCAAAAATGACCTGCAACCTGTTGTTAACTGGGGCTTGTTAATTTTAATGCTGCCAGTGATGGTACTTTGGTATCTTGACTTTACAAATTTAAGCACAGTACTAGATTGGCAGCTAGGTCTTATCATTTTACAGTTGAGATAGCTAGATGTAACCATAAATTCTATGTTAACAGTTTCTCCTCTCTCACTTCTCACTTGTAGAATTCTCTTTCAGATTTTTGCTTTCAAATTAACTTTGATCTTTCAAGATTTAAATATGTCAATCATTATTTTCTGTTTTCTTAATTCCTGTTCCTTTATTGTTCTCTCTCCTTGATAATGTTTTTCTTTTACTCATATTTTTTCATACTCAGTAACTCATGCATCTTAATAGTTTTGTCTTGCTTTTTGTATGATTAAAAAGAAGAAAGTGGAAGGAGCATTTATTTTACATCTCAGATATTTATTTTTCAACAAAATCTCTTTCCTTGTCAATGCACTTAGTTCAGTGATGAATATAAATGACAAATTGAACTTACATTTGTACAATGATTCAAATTAATCATTCACAAATTAGTTAAAATTTTAATTAATTTATAATAATAGTAACAGAACAATTTTCAAAATTACTTTTGCAATAATTAATTTCTAGTTTTTATTAAATTTGACCTACATATTCAAATATATCTAGATGCCACATTGAAATAATTTAAAAGTACTGAGGAATCAGGATGCTTTCTTGTGACCTTTTCTATTGTGAAATAATAACAACTAATAAAATCCCAATATCTTAATACATGTGCTACATGAATATCTTTTATTTAAAAAACTCATTAATGGTGAAAAGTTAGCAATAAAATAATGTATTGTTATATATGCCTTGAAAGCGCTTATCCAGAACATATGTCAGATATTCACCAAACAAATCTGCCAAACAGAAACAATTAATCTTGTTGGGTTTAGAGTCAGAATCATTCAAAACATAATAATGCCAGGAGTCTGTTTTAAAACTACTCAAGTTTGACACTTGAATCTAGTTTTTGACATTTGTTTAATATTTCAGTTTAAGATTGTGTCAATTTAAATCAATTTCAACATTCTACAATAATTTATAAAAATTTCATTATCCTGTTGTCATTTTTAATTACTACAGATTAACATCAAAATAATGTATAGAACATTAGAGATCTAACTACATTTTTCATGGGGAAATACATTTAATATAAATATCAAATGAATCTATAAATCTAAAAATTACTTTTATTTTGTATTTCAGACAGTAAGTTAATAAATGCATATTACAATTGAGTTGTAAAAAGACAAAGAAAATTCTTCTGCTTCTAAAATAATTTTGTTTTAGTTAAAGTGGTTGTTAGAAGAACATACATTATTTACTCTTTGCTTTAACCTTTATTTTGAAGCAAATGAAAAGATTTCCTCTAACTGAAGCAAATTGAAGGATCGAGATAAGAATTTTCTGAGAATTTTTATATGTATATTCAATTAGAATCAAAGTGAAATGTTTTAACCAAAATTTACAGTCAATAATTAGGATTAAAAATAAATAGCATGTTTTACCAAATATCAATTGTAACAAAAAGTATTTTAATACTAAAAATAAAAATTACATGAAATAGTGTAGGGGAGATAATAAACCAATTTCAAAAACATTTAAATAACCTTCATGTTTTTAACCAATATTTCAAAAATCCATTATTGTATTGGCTGCCATTAAAATTAAAACTCTTCAACAACTTTAAACTTCTAATAATTTTCAGCTGCCATTTAAATTTATTAGAAGATTTTCTTATTACTTTCCTGAAATTTTCTATTTCAGGAAAGTAATTTTTCAATCCTAACTTAAGGGAATTAAGTTAATCAGTCATCTGAAGAGAATTACTTTACATCTATTAAAATTCTCTAAAGTAATGAATTAGATACTTTATTAGCAAAAAAATAAAAGTCAAGTTTCAGGGAAATTTTAAAAATAGAATGTAAAATATGCTTTGTTTAGAATTTTTCAGTTTTATTTATAAAGTTAATTTAGACATATATAGAAAGAAAAATATTTACAACTAAATTTTTAGCAAAATTTTAACAGGCTATTCAAATAATTTTTCAGTTTTTTGAGTTTTTACTTAAATTCTTGCTTTATTCATTCATCTTGTATTTAGCTTAGAAATGTTATTAAATAGTAACAAAGTTTTTATAATGTAAAAACAAAATAATATGAAATAGCTACCATTCTAATTTCCAGACTAATTTAGCTCTTATAAATGTTCATTAGTGGCAATGGTGTCTTCATCTATGCAGGAGGTATTTCTGCCACACCCTATTCATTTAAAAATTTATTTCTTAAACATCTTAATGGTGTCTTTATTATGCTATAAGTGATAATTAAAGGATCAAGTTAAAAAAAGAAAACTTTTTGATTCTGGGACAGTTTAAAAATTTTTTTCACAAAGACTAAAATTGTCTTTATAGACAGTTTCATGATGATTGTTAAAAAAATTAGTCTGGAGTCTTGATTATAGCACTTCATTAAAACTTGCACCAAGGTATTTAAAGCATTTATAACAGTCAAGAAATCTAAATCTACCAAATTAACTTTGCATATTTGACACACACAAAAGATAGAAATCAAATGATACTAAATATTACTGATAAAAACTGAAATAATGTAAAGCATAGTTATTAAAATGTTTTCATTGTTTGTATTAGAGACCTTATTGTAATAATTAAAATACTTAAAGTTTACTTAATAATTCTAATGTTTGTTTATTTGAATAATGAGATTTTTTCTAAGGAATTTAGAAATTGAAATGCATTTATTTTATAGACATTCTAAATCTAAAAGAAAAAAATAATGGTTTAAAAAAATTTCAAAATCAGCACAATTCAATTTAAAACCAATGCATACTGACTGAAAAGCTTTCCAATAACAATATTAATGTTTAATCAAAATAATTGTCTTGAAGCAAAGACAGGCCTTCATATAGTTTTTTATGTATTCTTATCTAATGAAGAATGGCAACTCTATAACTCCTTCTATCACTATAAAAAAATGAATGAACTCTATGGATGAGAGAAGATAAATCAATCAACAAGATGATGATGAAGTTGAAGATGTATCATCCTCAATGTTAAAAATTGCAATTTCAGGAGGATATGATCCCTGTCCACCACATTGAGAACATGGTGCTGAGTTTTTAGAGAGTTCTTCCAAAGCAAGATTCACAACATCTGGACTTTCACTGTCCCCAACACTTCCAGGAAGGAAAGAATTTGCTGTAAATATAGCAAAATTTGTAATTCGTTTGGTTTTTGGTTCAGATTTAGGCTTCACCACAGAGTTACTTGAACTTGGTCTTACAGAGGTTACAGACAAAGCATCTACACTGCTGTTCCTGTCTAAAGAGAAATGAACACTTCGAGCTGAAGCATTGCTTAACACTGATGTATCACTCCCACGCCGTCTATGACTATAATGGTGCTTGCTTTTTAAGAATTCCTGTGCCCCTCTTTGCATTGCCAAAACAAAAGGTGTAAGCTGTGGTTTTACTCTGTTATTAAGTTTTGCACGTTTTTTCTTTTTCTTTTTCTTCAAATCTTCCTGTTGCTGATTTTCTTGATCACTATTTTCCATAGAAAATATCCGTGATGTTACAGAAGCAATATCTGAAATTAAATAAAGACGTGATTTTTTAAAAGTATATTTAGCAATTAACACAACTTTTCATTTACAAGTAAATCAATAAAAGAAAAAAAAAATCTCTCTCTATAAAATTCAGAAATATAAAAACTTTGTAAGTAGTTTATCCTAACAATGTTAGGATAAAATGAATATTTTTCATGAAGTTTTTCACTGAAAAAATCTTTGAAGTAATATTTATGTCTACAATTAAATGAGTGGAGATGCATTTTTATTTTTATATTTTCACTTTAGTTCTCAGTCCACAGGAAAAAGAAAATTGTTTTAGTTTTCATCAAAGTCCACAATGTACTTTTAAAGAACATAGATTTCATATTGTCTTTGGTTATGCACCTACCCACCCATCAGCCCATGTCTCATGGCCTTCCGGTGTCTGACATTGAGTCCCTGTCACGTGACTTCCGACCTTTCCTGGGCTAAATCACATGACTGTTCGAATTTTCCCATGGAAAAGACAACTTTCTTTACAGTAGAACATTTTACGTCTACCAGAGCACATGCATTAAACTCAGTCTCTGTACATGAGGGTATTGGAGAAAAGATATGGTGTATTTTCACGTATGACAAGCTCATAAGGAAATGCTGCAACATAGATGTATGTAAGAAAAACACAAACTGGTTGTTTTCGTGAAAGAAAAAAAAATGCCCGTAGAAAACTTCACAGCAAATATCAAAGATTGATTGAAGAAGACAAGGAGAAGAAAAACAGAAGAAAAGAGGAAAAAAAAGAAACCCAAGTGAATGAATTTTTTCAGGAGAAAGAGTTCATTACCTCCCCAGCTCATGAGAGACGAAAGATTTGCTGCTGTCACATTTGAAAGAATGAGAGACTCTGAATTGATACATTATATTCCTTTATGGAGAATATTTGTTTTGTATTTACATTGAATGTTGAGCTGACAATTCCATGAGTCAACCCTTTGTTCTAATGTAAGTGAATATCTTTGTATTTTCATTGTGGACAGATTGATATGTATAGGGGTTATATGCTCGCTAGTCGCACATACAGATTATTTTAGTAATTTCCTATCCCTCCCCATTAAGTACATATTTTATTTTTGCCAATTTTGCTATTTGTATAATTTGTCAATGTTATAGACAAGTGTATGGTTGCAAGAAAGAAATACGACAACAGCAGAAATAGATTTACGTCGTTTATTTCAACAGGAACGTGTGGGTTTGGGACAGCTACCTTGTTGTAAAGTTCATAAGCCAGCTTTGGATCTAGGTCGATCTCTCATAGTAGTTCACACATGTTGACAGTGGTTGATGCTCCCCTGCTGTCAGCTGCTGACCGTGACAGGTCTCTACCCTGGGCACCTGTGGACTCCTGTTGAACTTTCGCGTGACCCCTTTTATAGCGTTTTTTATGGCTTAACAGGCTCAAAAAACGAAGCGAGTATAATTAGGAGGGAAGCATTTTTATTGGACGAAAAATAGAACACTTTAAGTATTATTTTATTTTTCGACCGGAACACGTGTGTCGGGTATATTTGTAAATGAAGATGATGGTCATTTTGTGACGTGGTTTTGTCCCGTTCACATCTGGATCTCGCTCTTGAGTATTTGCCTGTAAATCAGCCAAGATATGTCTTATTTTATTTTATAACATCAATAAATGTTTGTGAATTTAAATCTGTCATTCTTGTTATTTTCTGTGGTCTCACAAGGGCATTCATTATTCTTTTTCTCTCATTCATCGGTGTCTTGAGAAGGAGTCCCCTTCCCGTGTATAATTTTTTTTTTATTATTTTACATATTACACCTGAGATTCTCGTTTTCTTTTTTTTAGTTTTATTTGTTGTGCGTACATTTGTCGTTTCTAACGAACATAGAGTCACACCATAATAACATGAAATCAGCTTATACATGAGTATATATGGTAACAGAAAGTTGATTTCAAAGTTTTGATATTAAATGCATTTTCAATTAAATAAGTATTTAAAAATACAATATTTACTAACAAAATAAGCTGTGTTTATCATATTTCAGCAATATTTATTAATTGTTATGTAGTATATCTCATTCTTTGTGACTCCTATTGGGCTTATCCATAGCCATAAGCATCTTGGGTGTTTTTGAAATTAGGTGTTGGTTATTATTTGGTTATTTGTTGTGCATCAGTGGACCCATTTTTCTCTGCACTCATGGGATCCTAGCCATACTTCCTGACTATTTTAAATAGTGTTTTTTTTTTTTTTTTGTTCTTATTTTTTTTTTCCTTCTCACCACTGGCATGATGATCAAGGTAAGGAAGAACTCAGCTCTTAAATTCTTTAAAATTAAAAAAGAAATCACTAAAAAATATGTTACATTCAATCAGCAAGTCACAGCAATAAGCTGATGGAGTGATCATAGATAGTTGATCATGAATACCATAGCTCTCCAAATTAAATAATCTGAGCTATTCTACATTTGTATAGGTACTTCCACTAATTCGGCATATGTAAGGTTTAAAATAAATTTTTATAAATGAAAAACGTTTTTTTGAAGCTTTCATTTTAGCTTTAATTGAAAGCTAAAAGATTTAAAATTTACTATTTTCAGTAAGCAAAATACTCTGTATTCAAACAAATTATATTGATCAGAAGTGATTGTTTTTTTTCAGTAAAATCGATAAAAACTGCCATTTTTGAGTTAATTTTTGGTTTTAAAATCTTGCAAAAATAAAATATATATTTCTGAAATGTTATTTGGGGAAAATTAGCAAATATAAAGTTAAATTAATCTGATTTGAAACAAATATTACTTACTTATAGCATAAAATGTTGTATACAAACATTTCTTAACTATGGGGTCTTGTTTTTCTTATGTGTTAATTGATTTATTGACAGCCGAATGTGTTCATAATATATTAGAGCAGACAATAAAGTTTATATGAGGTGATTTTATTCCCATAAACGGGGACAACCCTTAAAACACATAACCTTTTAATGATAATGTTATAGGTTTGACCCTCCATACTTTGAATTTCTGTACATATAAAAAAACAAATTGAAATTCTTTTAAAAATATTTAGGGTCATCAGATAAGCTTTGCAATATATAATAAGTAAATATAGTTTTACTTAATAACAACATTTTCTAAAAGTTATTTCATTGAAAATGAATTTTAAAAGATTTAAAATCTTCATAAATTATTTAATTTAAAATTGTAAAAAATGAAAGCAAATGTGATTTAAATTCATCAAAAAATTCTGCTTTTAACTAATATATTCACTAAAAATTATCATGTTGAATTTCTCAAATTTTCATGAAATTAAATAAGTGTGAAGTAACATATGTAAAAAAATATATATTTTTACCAATATTTTCTAAAAAAAGGATTTCAAAATTAATCTCATTCATTTGTAAAATAAGTCCTGAAAATTTCATTAAATTCTGACAATTATTTGACTTTTGCAAGAATTTCAAAGTTAATGAGTCTACCACCACAAAAAAGAGGTTAAAATTTGCTATGCTAAAAGTTAGTACAACTGCTGACACAAGAAAGTTTTTTAATAAAAATTTTGAATGTTCTAAAAAAGAGTAAAAACTTTAATTAAATATTCATAAAATACTTTGATCTTTCCTTAATAATAACAAATATTTTGATGATAAACTATATTATATTTGGAGCAAGTTTTCATTACAGCATGCTGATTTTTAGCGTTTTTGTGGAGATACCTACATTTGTATTATACATTTTGTGTTTCTCTAAATATAGTCAATCATAAAAATAATATCAAGTTTTATAATATTCTAATTATTAAAAATTTAAACATATAATTTGTGAAAAAGAAAATATGAAAATATTTGAAAAATAATTGTATCAACTTATTGAATATTTTACCTGAATCTGAATATCTTCTAAGAGTCCCTGCCATTGGTTGGAACATGCCTCCTCGTCTACGTACTAGTTTGGGCATATTAGCTGCAAATTCTGATGATACATCAGCAGAACTTATGCTGTTCAAATCAAATTTCATTCCTAAAAATAAAAAGTATGCATGATTTATGAATAATCTGAATAAAACACTCAACAGTCATTAAATTCATTTGTCAGTATTTAAAATTTCCAACACTGTATTTGAAGACCAGATATTTCTCTCTCTATACATTCATCTGTGAATATCTTTTTGTTTGGCAACTTTAATGCACATCATGTCAAGTGGCCTACTCATTCTAATACCACTGATGTTGCCAGTATTCAGACTTTTGATTTTTGCTTTTTGCTTAATTTCTCAGTCAAATAGCAAATTTCCCTATTCACTTCCCAACAAGCTTCCTTACTAGATTTGTTCTTTACCACCTTTCCAGACTCTTGTTGGGCATTGCAACTCTGTCCTCTTGGCAATTTGGATCACACTGTAGTGTTTGTGAATATTTCTTTTGACTCTTCTATTAGGCATGAATCTCCTATACAACTGCAATGATACAATGGATATAAATTCCCTGATTCAATGTTGCAAAGGGCAATGACAGAGAGAGAGAGAGACCTGGCTGAGATATCAACATACAGAGGCTGGTCAAGAACATAGCAGGCACACTGAACATGATACTTCTCAACTTTTATCCTTCAACACTGCTGTCTTTATAAAACATCAGCCGACATCCATGACCAACATTCTTTCTCTTTATTTTTCCCTCTCCCAATCTTTTGCCTTTTACAACTGCAACGGGTAGCATACTGGTTTTGTATATATGTAAATAAATCATACATTTATTTACCCAAAATACAAAAAAAAAAAGATGTCATTCTGTTACCAGCATGCCAATTAGGATTCATTTTGTGATTTTCTTTGCAACACCCCTTCAAGTAAAATCTTACCTGATCCCATTGAAAATTGTGCCACTGAGGTTTTTTCTTGGGTTAAATCTTGTATTGCATCTACACAAGAATGTTAAATAATTGGAGAATTATATCTCTGTGATAATTTCTGTGTTGCCTCCATAATTTCAATAAAATTTAACAGATATTGTTTTGCAATTGGTAAAATCCAACTCAAATCTAATAAATGCAACTTAACAGCAAAAAATTCAACTTTTATAACTTCTAACTATTTATATGTATGTATATATATATATATATATATATATTATACACACACACACACACACTTCTATTCCACTACAACTAATGGCTTTTGTAATGACAATATTATCTCACTTGTGCAATCAAGTGTTTGAGCTATAACTAAACCTGGACTATATGTGGTGGTAGGAGAAGAAAAGATAATGTTAAACTGCTATAATAATCTTTATTTTTGTTTTTGTCGTGTCTCTTACACTAAACCAGATGTTGACTGCTCAACAACCCAAGCCAGAATGCAAAAACGCATCTCTGTGCATCATGGTTCAATGCATATTTTTGGTATTAAATGAAAAAATGAACTTTATATATTGGCCAGTAGAAATAACTCTTGCTAAAAGATATAGACTGTGATTTGGAGCCGATACAATGGATATAAATTCCCTGATTCAATGTTGCAAAGGGCAATGACAGAGAGAGAGAGAGAGAGAGACCTGGCTGAGATATCAACATACAGAGGCTGGTCAAGAACATAGCAGGCACACTGAACATGATACTTCTCAACTTTTATCCTTCAACACTGCTGTCTTTATAAAACATCAGCCGACATCCATGACCAACATTCTTTCTCTTCCTTTTTCCCTCTCCCAATCTTTTGCCTTTTACAACTGCAACGGGTAGCATACTGGTTTTGTATATATGTAAATAAATCATACATTTATTTACCCAAAATACAATGCATTCCTTTTCCTCGAATTTACGTTGCTGAGGCAAAAAAAAATTAACCTCTTCAGCAGTAACAAAAACAAGTTCTGCCTTCCAGGTTACTCATTCTTCATTTCCACAACAATTTTTGTTTTTACATAAAAACTTGCTAAGAACCTATCTTGTTTAATTTTTTACAAGATATGAATACTAACACATTCATTTACAATGCTCAGAGAATTGGTAACATGATTTGCTTCATAGGAATAGCTATTTCAAACATTTGATGTTAAAGAAAATACAATGCATCATTTTTGAAAAGCTTCATTGATCAAAGAATAAATGTACTGAAACAATTTCTTACCTAGTGGATCATCATGCGTGCTATAAAAACTAACTGAAAATCTTCCACTGTTGATTTCTTTACGTCTGGCAAATGCCCTGGCAATCATTTTGTGTCTCTTTAATTTTACAGGACGGTTTGATGGTTTCTGGAAGACTCTATTAAAAATAAAATAAAACTGACTGACAAAATTCAAAGAAATTATTACAATCAAAACTAAAAATATTTTAATTTTATGCTATTCAATAAAAATAGTGTATTTTTTGTTATGTCCAATGTTTAATGAGACATGTCTTTTTATATATATATATATATATATATATATATATAAAAAGACATGTTTCATTAAATAATTTAGTTTTGTCTAATTATTTTTAATATGATCCTCTCATATTCACAGACAAGCTTCTTAGTATAATTATTAAAGGAAGAAAGTTACCATATATTCATTTGTTCTGAGTACTTTTGACCTCAGTCAGCATGGAAAAAAAAACTGAACAGAGAGTCTGCATCAGCATTGGGTTTCAGCTGCACAGAATATCCTTTGATTGTGTCAAGGAAGACAAAACCTTTTTGAAAACTGTCGTAACAGGTGACGAATAATTAGTCTATAGCTATGACCCAAAACCAAGACAATCTTCGCAGTCTCTCTGAGATTGAATAAAGCATGAATGATTAAGCAATATAAAGCTACAAAGACATTATTTATCATGTGTATGCTCCAACTGATCAGACAGTAAAAAAAGGTGTACTACCGTGATGTGTTACAGTGTTTGTGGGATGCAGTTTGTCAGAAAATGACAGAATTGCATGTGTTTGGTGAGTGGCATCTCGATCATGACAATGCAGATGCACATTCAGCACAGATTATGCAGCAGTTTTTGGCCAAACACAACATTCCCCAGGTTCAACAACCACCATATTCACCAGATCTCATACCTTGTGACTTTTCTTTTCAAAAATCAAATTCCACTTGAAAGGAACAAGATTTCAAGATGTTGAGGAAATTTAAGAGAATGCAATGAGGAGTTCCAGGGTTGCTTCCATCAATAGCAAGTGTGATGGATAAAGTGTAAGGTTTCAGAAGGGGACTACTTCGAAGTCAATTAAATGCCAAATTGATATGTATTGTAGTTTTCTTTTTATAGCACCAGTCCTGATACTTTTTAATCAGACCTCATATTATCCTACAACAAAAATTATAAGATGACTTAGTAGGAAAAATATTCTAATCACAACAAAATTTCTTTGTTCTATAATAATCTGCATAAAGAAATTCTATTTTCCAAGGAAAATTGCTGGTAATAAATTTGGATATTTCATTAACAATAAACTTTTAATTCATAATACTTACTTGCGGAGAAACCTTTCCCATGCATACAATGAAGCTTTATTCCATGACCAAGAACTCATTAATATTCCTGCACCAAAAAATGCAAAAATATGTATGTGGGTTGCAATGATACTTGGTCGATTTGATAAAGTTCTTTCACACAATGAAGCAGTCTGATTTGTCACTGACACTTCAACTTTACATCTGAAAAATTTTTTATTCAACAATTTAGCATCACTTTAAGGAGTAGTTGCTAAATTAACTTGATAAAAGCCTTTATCTCTCCATTAGATAAACTGATATATACAATTTATAGTTACAGTGGAGATTAATTAAGAAGCCAGTATTTTTTAACTTTAAAAGAATTAATATCTGAAATTTATGTATTTTTACAAGTTGACAAAAGAGTATAAAATAAAAATTATAAAATTCAATAGACATTAATGAAATATGGCATTTAAAACATTGCCCTAACCATTTATTATGATCCGATTAAAAGTTGCAGCAAATTAATGTGATTTATGACATGGGTAATTCAATTATACCAAAGTACCATATATATACTTGAGTATAGTGCGAGTTTTTATGATCAGTTTTTTTATGCAAAAAATAGGGGATCACACAGGTAATTTTTTTTTAAGAGGTTATGCATTTTTGGTAACCAGTTGCACAATAAAAAGGTAAATCTTTTCTGGAGAAGTTAAAATGCATTTTCGGTGACTGTAACCTTGCCCTACATTCTTATAGTACCTTTGGCTAACCTTAATGGTACAGCTAAGTTCCTTTATCCTGCACTTCATCTTCCAACTATGGCCACCTGTTAGTCTTTCCTCTGCCTGGTATCTAAATATTTGTATTGGATATGTTACAGTAAGTAGTTTTAATCACCATTTTGGGGTAGCTTTGTACAAAAAAGAATGCAAACCATTTATTTGCTAGAAAATATGTCCAGGGTGATGCCCAGTGCTACAATATTTGTCTGCAGTAGGCCTACTAGTATTGCTCAGATCTTGGATCATATTATACACAAGCTATATGTCTGATTATTTTAATCAATTTGTCTTCTCTATAGATAACTGAGAACTTTAACACACAAGCAATATGAAAAAATCAGGCTTTGCAGAAACAAAAAATCAGTACTATACATGATGTCAGCTTATGAGTATATATGGTATATATTAATAAAAATTAAAATAACAACAACACATCAGGTATAAAAAAATTATTGAATGACTAAAAGGATTTCAGGAGTAGAATCAGTAATAATTTTGGAACCAGGGAAGCAATAATTCAAAATACCAATTGTTCTAAATTAAACATCAGCAGCATTTTATGTAAAAAGGATTTTATAGACATCCAAAAGATATAGATATTAAAAATTATTACAACTGCAAAATTTTTGAATCAACAAAAAATTAACTAGATATTTAGCTATTATCAAGTAAATAGATCTTGTATTAAAATGAGTAATCATTGTATTTTATTTATATACTTTACAAGCAAGCAATACATTTCTGGAAATAATGATAAAAATCATTGAAATATTAAAATACACTTTCTTGTTTACCAATCAAAACCAAAATTTTATAATCCCTCGATTAGGATATTCTGTGCAGCTAATATGTACATTAAAATATATGGAGAATCAAAGGGATGAATGTGATTTCACTTTATATTTTCTTGTCGGGATGAAAGCTTCAATTCCAGCTTTTATGCTGGATGAGACCTCAGATGCACATTTTTGGACGGGGAGGTTAAAGACAGTATTCCAGGGGGCATCACGAAGGAAATCTTGGAATGAGTCCCAATCTGCTCATTGATAATAGAAAGATACTCGGGAAATGTGTAGGTAAGTCAACCACTTGATTGAGAGATTGAAAAGTTAAGTGTTTTTATGCCAAGAAGGTCAGTTACAGAGTGTTTAAGCCATTTGGTATGGTGGGCATTGAAGTCACCAAACACAAATATATTTGCAGATGTATGTAGAGCCTTGTCTATATTATTGGAAATGCAATCAAGTACACCATAGTCTTGGGAGGATAGAGCGCGATGGAGAAAGAAGAGATCTTGTTTACTCATTTTAACTTTTATCTATTTTTGGTCATTTCAAATTTTCAGCTTTATCTCCCATTTTGTATTTCTGACTTTTTGGGACATTTTTTCTAATTTTGGTATCCATTTCATGTTTCTGGCTTGTTTGCTCATTTTGTGTTTTATCCTTATATAGTTATTTCATATTTTCAGGGTTTTTTTTTTTTTTTTTACCTATTTTGTATTATTGATTCTTTTACACATTTTGAATTGTATCATTTTTGGTAAATTTGTCTTTTCTTTTCTCCCTCATCCCATATCATTTTTCTTGCATATATTTAGCATTTCTGACATTTTAACACTTTTTTTGCTTTATCCCTTTGCAGTCATTTCATATTTACTGCTTCTTGTAAGAAATTTGAATTTTGTCTGACTGTTTTTTTTTTATTTTTGTTGTTTTTTTTCCCCCATTTTATCCTTCTCACCTTTTTTTCTTTTTACATTTTCTGCTGTTTATCCCATTTCATATTTCTGGTTTTTTGCTCATTTCCTATTTTCTGCTTCACTACCCATTTCATACTTTCATTTTTTTTTTTTTTAAGCCATTACGTACTCTGTTTTTTTTTACCATTTTGTATTTTATCCTTTTTTGGTCATTTCATATTTTCTACTTTTTAACTCATTTAGTATTTTCTGCTTTTCTACCAATTTCATATTTTTGGTTTATTAGGCAATTTTGCATTTTATCCTTTTTTGCTCATATTGTATTTTCTGCTTTTGTACCCATATCAGATTTTCTCTTTTTACCATTTCATATTTAATTTTTTTTCTTTTGGTTAACCTGTTTCAAATTTTCTGTTTTAGCTACCCATTTCATATTTCCAGCATGCTTACCTATTTTATATTTTATGCTTTTTTCAATCATTTCATATTTTCTACTTTTTTTTACTCATTTTGTATTTTATACTTTTATGCATTTTCTTCTTTTTAATGCATTTCCTATTTCACTTATTTCATATTTCTTGCTTCTTTGACCATTACATATTGTATACTTATGGTCATTTAGCATTTTCTGGCATTTTACCAATTTTGTATTTTAGTCATTTTTATATGTTCTCTTTTTAACTTACTTCATATTTTTTGATTTTATAGTGTCTCTATATTTTTTTTAATCATTTCATATATTCTCCTTTATAACACATTATATTTTCTGCTCTCGTCATTTCGTATATTCTGGCTTTTTGCTTATTTTGTATTTTAACCTTTCTTGGTCATTCAATATTTTCTGCTTATTCAGCCATTTTGTATTTTCTGTTATTTCAACCATTTCCTATTAGTCACTTTTTGAACAATTTTGTATTTTATCCTTTTTCACTTAATTTCTGTTTTCTTTTTCTGGCACAAAAAATTGTCTAGAAAGACAAAGTGAACCAACTTTCTTAGCAGAAGACCTAGCAAGTGATTCAATATAATCTTTCCGCATCATGTCAGCAGAAAATATTAGCCTGAAAAGGCACAATGAATCACTCTCCTGGAGGTTAGAATCAGCCTTGCTGATGGAGGGCAAAATAAGTTTATGATTAAGAGAGCAGTTTCATTTTGGAGGCATTAAAAGCCATTTCTAATCCAGTTAACAACAGATTGAAAGTTATTTTTGAGATCAGCTGCCAATTTAATCTTATCAAGCCTATCAAGACAGGAGTAAATAAATAAAAATTTTGTCCAGAAATGCCAATAACCCTTTCAACTTAGGAAGAAAACCAGCATGCCAAACCCTGTCAAACACCTTTGAGATATTCAAAGCAACAACCTGACCTTTACTATTCTCATCTAAAGATTGACAGACTCTTTCAGCAATAACTATTAACACATTAGCAGTTGACCTAGATAAGTGAAAGCAATATTGTTTGTCTGAAAGAAGACACTATGAGGTGAGATGCTTAACTAATTTGGAGGAGATTAGAGATGTTTCTAAAAAGAGGTAGAATAATAGGTCAATAGAAGGATCAGAAAGTTTCCCTAAGTTCTTAAAAATAGGAAGTACAGAAGAGGATTTTCAATAAGCAGGAAAGCAAAAATCAGCAAGGCATTTATTATACAGTATAAAGAGAATAGGAATCATTTCAAGGGCATATTTCTTTAGGACTATTGCAAAGATATCAAGTCCACATACTTTGTAGGGATCCAGTTTAGATATGATAACAAAAATCATGGACAGAGTTATATGCATATCATACTGTAGAAACTCAGTTCTAATTGAAAAATCAGGCAAAGATTCTCTGAATGAGTCAAAAGTAGTATTGAAAGAGAATTTATGAGCAAAGCATTCTGCTTTATATGCAGAAAATGATAACACCTCAAACTGAGTAAAGAGAGGAAAGACTTACCCATATTTAAGACACTATTATAGAGTCGCAATTAATCATGGGAACTAAACTTGTTAGAGGCCTCATTCTGTCAGTGAACAAAGACTTAGCCTCACTGAGGATACATTTACAATTATTTAATTGTATGTGGGAAACACACACAAGGAGACGCCTGTTGTAATCAGAATTATTGCATTGGTACTGCTGGAAAAAGTGATTCCTGTTGGCTATAGTGAATCAAGGTTTCACCTGGTATTTCTGTGACGGAAATTTTTGCATTTTAACTTATTTTGTATCTGTTGTTTTTTCACCAGCTTTGTATTTTCTGCTTTTTTGGTCATTTCATATTTTATGCATTTTAAACTATTTCATATTTGCTGCTTTTTCACTCATTTTATATATTACGCTTTTTACACAAATTGGGTTTTTGGACATTTTTTTTAACAATTTCACAATTTAGACTTGTTTTTAAGCATTTCACATTTCTGGCTTTTTTAAACATTTTGTATTTATCCTATTTTGAACATTTTATACTTTGCTGTTTTTAATCCATTTCATATTTTCTACCTATTTTGTATTTCCAGCTTTTATAGTCATTTTATATTCCCTGCTTTTAACACATTTCATATTTTCTGGCTTTTTGCCCATTTTGTATTTTAAACTCCTTTCATCATTTCATATTTTCTGCTGTTTTACCCATTTCATATATCTGGATCTTGCCCATTTCACATTTTATACTTTTTTGGTTATTACATATTTTGCTCTTAAATTTCCATTTCAGGATTTTTAACCATTTTGCATTTATATATATATATATTTTTATCCATTTCCGGCTTTTTTACCTATTTCATATTTCTGGCTTCTTTACCTATTTCATATTTCTGGCTTCTTTACCTTTTTTTTGTATTTTATTCTTTTTCAGTCGTTTCATTTTTTCTGCTTTTTAACTCAGTTTGCTGGCTTTTCTTACCCATTTTGTATTTATACATGTTTTGGTCATTTATTATTTTATACTTTTTTTTTATCCATTTTGTATTTCTGGTTTTGATCCATATCATATTTCTACCTTTTAAACCATTTCATATTGCTTTTTTGTCAGTTTTATATTTTGTACATTTTGTAAAAGTAGACATTATTAAATGTAAAATTCTCAATAACAATAAGAGGAAGAAGAACAGAGCAAAATAATTTGAGACAAGGCAATGTAAGGCAATAAGACAATAACTAAGTAAAAAATTTACAAAATAGAAATAGTGATTATTACGCAAAAGAGTCAAGCCTTATTTTAAGGCAAGAAAGAAAAAATGTGTGGGTAAAACCACAAATTGTCCATTTTTATTGGCTAGGAAGAAATCTCAGCATTCACTTGTAGGATTTGTCTCTAAATTTGGAGAGGGGAAGTCTTTCCCTACATTGTAACCAACACCCTTCCTCAATGAATACACTCATTCCTCTTCCCCTACCTCTTGGAGGTATATATTAGTATTTATATATTTTGGCATTTTTCTTTATTTTAAAAATTTTGTTTTTATATTTTATATTTTTTAAACAATTTTCTTTTGTTTTAGTCATGAAAGTGTAGATAAAAGAGAAAAATATGGGTGTGACACTATTTACCTATGGTAATTGGCTAACTAATTAACCATAGAAATTAAAACAGGAAATACTTAAGGTGAAAAAGAGCTATCCCGAAAGATATCCCGATCAATGTTAAAAAAAAGATTTGATTTTATTCACGAAAAAGATACGTTTCACAAAAGACAGTAAATCAACCTGATAAAACCTCACATATGGCTTTTTCCATGAAAAAGCCATATGTGAGGTTTTATCAGGTTGATTAATGTCTTGCCGAGGGAGATAGGAAGAAAGGCAAATATTAAGATGGAAAAAGGAAAAGCAATGTGGCAATTATTAAGTTTTGGCATTGTCCCAACATAGGTGAGAGGATTGTTATTATTTACCTTATCAACGTGTTGCTTCAGACGCTGAAATGTTGAATGGCAATATGGCGTTTGTAAAATTTTGGCATGAGACAGAAAATAGAGTGGAGAATTGAGATTTAGCAAGATAAAAGAATTTAATTTCTCAACAAGCCAAGGATTCCATTATAAAGCTAACTTCACGAAGGGACCAGATGGCAAATTTTGACAGTAATTGATGGAGTCGGTAGAGAGTGCTGGCTAAGTGAATTCTGGGTGGCCAAAGATATGATAGAAATTTAATTGGCAATATGGAATTCATAAAAATTTTGGCCGATGGGAAAAAGGAGAATTTTGTAAACAAAAATTCTAGATTATAATTTTAAGGAGGCCAGCTTAGCCACACCCGCATGGCCGGGATGCTATTGGTTGAGTGGTAGCAATGGTGATAGGCGGAGGTGATGGATGAGAAAGACAGAGAATTTATTAATGCCCACTGAAGAGATTGGTATGAGATATCAATGTGAGAGAGAAAGATTCTAGGAGGATAGCTCTCTTCTGACTTTCCCTCATGGACGATGGGGACCCCGCCCCACAAAATGGAAAGTGATTAATTTTCCAAAAATGGGAAGTAATCACATTTCCTGGCCTGACAACAAAGAGATTTCTTGTTAGAAATCGAGTTTTACCAAGAATCCCAGGCCGCGTCTGGGCCCCACACCGGGTTTTGGACAGTACCCATATAAACGAACGTCCTCGGGTCATTCAGATAGTTCTGAGTTGCAGTCGCATTTGAGCTGGTTTTGGAGTTAGAGTCAGAGCTTAACCAGAGTGTTGCCTCGCTGAAGCTGACAAAGAGATTCTGCAACCTCCAATTTTACCAATAGCAAGTTATACTGACGAACGAAGCCAAGTCAACACCTAAGAACTAAATCAGTTGATTTAAGATACCAACTTGCTTGAAACATAGAAGTGTCACACATTTCATAGAAAACGGGCTGGGAGAAAAACACACTCCTGTATATAATAGAAGGATAAAGTTAATTTGTTATTTCTTAACATACTTGTACCTCTTGGGTTTTTCTTTTATTTATTTTTTTTTCTTTGCGCTTGTGCAATACCACCTTCAATCCGGACTCAGCTTACACTATGGCCTGACTCCTGATTGATCTCGCCTAAGATCAAAGTCACAACATGGGTAGGTTAGACTTGAGATTGAAGAAGTTATTCCAGTAACCAGACATTAACATCGACAACCAGAATTTGACCCTGGACAGGCCAGTGTCCCATATTGATATCCTGACCAGGGGATTTTGCCAAGTAGTGACAACCACCGATCGACTGGGACATAGGCTGGTGGCGGCGACAAAGAGTCAACCCCAAAACGCCGGTAGAAGAAACATTACAGTTTGCACCATGACTGGGATTTGACCACAGGTCGACAGCTGAGTGTCACATTTGCAAGCAAAAACTTCAGAGCACTTCAGAAAAATCTCTTTAATTTTATTCTGGTGACAGGCTTCGTAAATAAATCAGTGACATTTTGTTCTGATGGAATACAGTCCAACTTTTTGTCATTTTGCATTACAAATATAAAATATCCTTACAAATTGATATTTTTATTGATATAAAAATATCAATTTGTAAGGATATTTTGACATTGAACTGGATTTTTAGCTTCTTTTTTTCTTTGGTTGTCACAATAGATAGTGGCATGCCCATCAAAATTTGAGCCAATGGGATTCAATAATTCGATATGGAACTTCATTTCTTATATTTTGGATCTTAATGCAATATATTCTGCTTTGCATGTTGACAAATCCAAGAAATTATATAACTGTTTGATGATAATTGAAAACCATGCTATGTGATATTGTGCCAATCCTTTGAATTTCCCCTATTAGTGTCACATAATATACTGTTCTGCTACCACGAAGATTACTACGACTGTTACTACTGCCGAGGAGGAATGAAACTATAAACTTTAAGCCACGCACAGAAATCTTCATCTCTCCATCGCAAGAGTCACATATCGTTCTGAGATGATTTAACAACAAGTTAATGAAAACCCACTCTCTCTCTGTCTAGAATCCAGTGTATGAGTTTTTCTTTTTACGTCAAATAATTTTCTTTTCTGTAACCCGTTTCTTTTCTATACTATTCTTTTCTGCGATATAAAAGACATTAACAATTCAACCATTGAATAGTTGTTTGTCCAGCTTTCTGCAGATATATTTTTTTTTTTTGGTGTATTCTAAATTTCTTAGCACAGACTCTCCAGCCGTGTCTACATCTTCAGTCGACTGTGAATGGATGAATATCACTTCTGCTTTCTGGATCAAACCAAACACAATGTGGGCAGGAAGTAGGATTAAACCAGTGGACCGGTTAAATGATCTACAGATGCTCGGGGGACCCACGGTCACTCCCTTAAGTTCGGTTAAGACTGAGCAGACACCTCAAGCCAGACAGTAAGACGTCAGAGGTTGAGGGGCTGGGGTGAAAGTGTTAGATTGGTGCTGTGACCAGGATAGACGCGTTGGAATTACTACATTTGTCTGAAAGAGGAGTGAAGGTTGCATTTGTTTTGTCCAGTTGGGACCAAGTAAGACCAGAAAGGACTCTAGTCTTCGGACTATATTGGTCTAAAAGGAAGCAAAAGAAGGAGGAAAAAGAAACAAAACAGAGTGGTGGACCTCAGGTAAGTCACTTTTTGGTTTCCTTTGTTCGCTCATTGCACTTAGATCTGCCAGTAATATTTGTGATCTTGTTTTAACTTTGTTGATGTTGTACGCAGTTGAAGCGCCACCACTGTGTTAAGTATTTTTCCTTTCATTCTGTCATTGAAAGTGGTAGTTGACAAGACGCTAGGATGAGTGTAGCAGGATCAGACGCCACAGATATCAATGGGTTTCAGGAGGCTGATTGGTAGCATGAAGCTACCTGCTTATAAAGGAACCCTGTGGACCTGCACAAATGGATTCTGTCCATTCAGAAGAAGAGGTGATCTATGGCCTCTCAGACCAAGAAATGGTGCTCCTAGCTTATGACGCCGCAGCGGGGCAGGTGTCCAAGTTTATAGGGGGGTGGTACAGAGAAAACCCGGCCCTGATGTGGACCAAGCTTAAATCCACTCTGGTGCGGCAATATGCAAGTTAGCGTATGGCCATTGAGGCAGTCAGGAAATTATTCCGGCTGCAGCAACAAGGAGAGACTAAAGAGGAATTTGGGGAAAGAATTACGGGGATAGCGGCATTAGCTTTTCCAGAGTTGGTGACTCGGGACAGTGATCCTATTCAGGCCTTGTTGGCTGATATGTATGTGGATGCGCTGAGTGACAGAGACCTGAGGAGCAATGTTCTAAAGCGGGGATCGGTCAGCCTGGCCGCAGCCATAGAGGCGGCTTGGACCAGCAGCTTGGACTATCTGGGATAGAATAAGAGGGGGTGTAGGTAGGAACCCCGGTGGGCCAAAGTAGTGATGAAAAAGAGGGACCAGGACCGGATCCAGATACAGGACCTGAAAGAAGAGGTGGAAGAGGACTGGGAGGCTGAGGCAGTTCCCAATAGGAGAGCCTGGGATCTGCGTTATGGCTTTCACAAGCCCACAACAGGCAAATATAGGCTGGTTTACAGGACTTGCAAGTACGGTGGGCATCGGGCCTGTGACTGTCCGACAAACTATAGAGGCGATCCAAGGTCTTTTGGGCTGAACTGCATGACTTGTGACAAGTTCAGGCACAAGGCTCGGTGGTGTACGGCAGAGGGAGACCGTAAACTGGCGATAAAGCGAATTAATATGCTGGTGCCCCCTACTGAGAAGGAAAAGGGTCTGGGAAACACTGATGGGTCACCCGTGAAAAGGTAAGAGGCAGTGTGGCCACAGTGCAAGTAAGACCTCTGAGATGCTGGACATGTGGTGTGTTTTGGCACTTTTCGGCAAGTTGTAAGGAGCAAAGGTGTTGGCGCTGTGGAGGAGCAGGTCACCTGCGACAAACCTGTCCTTGCAGAAGAAAGATGGACGACACCGAACGAAACAACCCTAACTTGAACAGAGAGGAGAGATGGGTTGCTGGTCCGAGAAAAGAGAGTCATCCGAGAAAGCGAGAGAACACACGGGAAGGAGAAAGGCACAGGTATACCGTTTGCTGAAGGAAGGGCCAGACTTCACCTGTAATGTGTTGCTGGGAGACAAGAAGGCCCTTATCGATACTGGAGCTTCAGTGTCACTGGTTAGCTCCAAGGTTTTTAGACAGTTGGGACTTAGTCCCATCGATCTCCTAATAAGTCAGGCTAATAGTAGCAGGATGAGGATAGAGGGTATGATGTGGCTACCTTTCCAGTTGGCAAGAACCAGAAGTAAACTTAAGCTTTATGTGACACCTGACTTGTGTGGTGAGCTAATTTTGGAGAGTAACTTGCTTAGGCAGAATAAGACACAGATCTGTTTTGACCATGCCACCCTAACATTGGACGGGGTAGGGATACTGTTGGGAGAGGATAATTATGAGCAATTGCCAGTGGTGGCCCAGACAGATATAAAGCTTCCCCCTAGGACTACTGTATCTGGGAAGGGCAAGATTATAACAGAGGGAGTGCTGAACAGTGACCTGTACCGAGTGGTCCCTACTGATAGGTATGATAATAGTGAAGGGGCAATAACCATGTGTGATTCGTTGGTGAAGAGGTCGGGGACCTTTCCCTTACTGTTAACCAATACTGCCAATAAAACTATTAAAATAAAGCAGTGAGAGGAACTGGCACAAATGTGCCCAGTGAGAGAAGGTGAGAGTATGGAATGAGAATATGCCCGGGAATAAGACAGGTAGCAATGAAATAAGGGATGAAGATATAACAGCTCCTGAGCATTATAGGAGGAAATTGAGGGGGTTGCTGAACGGTAAGGAACTGGGACAGACAGAGACAGACAAAATGAAGATAGACACGGGTAATCACCCACCTATTAAGTTAAGACCGTATAGGACCCCAATTCACAAAAGAAAATTAGTAGAGAATGCAGTGAATGAAATGATGGAATTAGGGATAATCGAAAGATCCAAATCTCCCTGAAGTTTTCCAATAGTGATTGTTGAAAAGTCAGATAGAGTGCATAGGTTTCGTGTGGATTTTCGTCAATTAAATGCCATTACGAAACCGCTGGCAGTGCTCCTCCCCATGATTGATGATATTCTAACTCTTTTAGGAAAGTCTAAATGTTTTTCCACCTTGGATTTGAGGTCGGGATATTGGCAGGTAGCACTTAGCAAAAAAGGATCAGGAAAAGACCGCTTTTACCTGCCACGTGGGTCTCTTCAATTTTAGAGTTATGTCATTTGGGTTAGCAAATGCCCCGGGTGTATTTAGTCAGTTAATGTCCATTGTATTGAATGGCACTGAGGCCTTTGCCATGGCATATCTAGATGACATCACGGTGTTTTCAAAATCACCGGAGGAGCATTTTGAACATCTGCAGAAGGTGTTCAATAGGTTAAGAGAACATGGATTAAAATTAAAATATCAAAGTGTCAGTTTATGAAAGAAGAGACAAAGTACTTAGGGTTTATCATAAACAAAGAAGGAATAAAGACGGATTTAGACAAAGTTGAGGTTATAAGGGCCATGCCCGCACTGAAGACCGTAAGAGAGATTAGGGGATTTATTGGAGCTATCAGATATTACTGGAAGTTCATACCTGCATTTAGTTGGCTCGCAAGCCCTCTAATAGCTCTAAGAAACATGCTAGGTTTAAGTGGACCGATGATTGTCCGCGTGCATTTGAGGCTCTAAAGGACCAGCTGACAGCTGTACCCCTGTTGGCCTACCCAGACCTGAGTAAGCCCATGGTGCTGTACTCTGATGCTAGCGATAAGTGTATTGAGGCGGTTCTTACACAACCATGTCCCGATAAGGATGGACCAGTACCGGGTGTGCCTGAGGAAGTGCCGATCTATTTTCTGTTTCATCGGCTCTCCAAGACTCTGCAAAGGTGGCCAGTAATAGAAAAAGAGGCGTTCGCTATTCTGTATGCTGTGCAGAAATTAGATTATTATTTGAGTGGGGCTGTGTTTACCATTAAAACAGACCACCAACCCCTCAAATATCTGTTAGAGGCAGAGTGGATGAATAAGATGATACAACAGTGGGCATTGAAGTTAAGTGGGTATAACTACAGAATAGAATATTTGGCAGGGAAGGATAATACCTGTGCTGACCTGTTATCGAGGATTCCGAGGCAATTAGAGACCAAATCTGTCAGGTTGGAGCCAGGTGTGGAGGATAAAGCATTCCAAATGAATGTGATCAATTCACAGGCGTTGAAAGAGTTGGGAAGATCAGGAAACAAGTGAAACGGAGATTATTTCCGACCCCCACTGGAGGGATTTTATTAGGCAAAACCAAGAGGATTGCGAGATAGCAACTATCAGGTCCAGGGTAGAGGCAGGGCGTACCTCCAAATATATGGTGCATGATGGGGTGTTGTATTACCTTTCACGAACAGATGAGGAAGCAAGTTTAAAAATGGTGATACCTGAGAAGTTGAGAGCTGAAATTCTAGACCAATGCCATAGGAGGTTAGGACACCTGGGAATTGATAAGACATATGGATTAATAATGAGAAATTACTACTGGCCTAAGTTGTTTAATGATGTTGCGAACCATGTAAAAAAAAAATATATATAACATGCTAAGTACAGAGTTGAAAGAGTAGGGTTCCCCCAGTATTAAGAATGGATGTTCCGAATTATCCATTTCAGAAAGTAAGCATGGATATTTCCAGGCCCTATGGAGAAACACATAGAGGTAATCTTTACATAGTGAGTTTTGTGGACTGGCTGACAAATTGGCCTGAGGTATTTGCCATACTGAATAAGAAGGCATGAACGGTGTCAGATATAATACTGAATGAAATATTCCCTAGGTATGGGGCCCCCGAACAATTGGTTACCTATAATGAATCGGAGAATGTGAATCAAATTATGAGAGAGATGTTGGGAGAATTAAACATACAGCACATAACCACCTCTCCATATCACCCCCAAAGTAACACTAAGGTAGAAAGATTTCATAAGACCCTTGCTGATGTGTTAGCTAAACTAACAGAGGATAATAGGGAAAATTGGGATTTATTTGTAACCCAAGCGTTAGCAGCTGTGAGATTCTCGATGAACAAGACGACAAAATTTTCCCCTTATTACTTGATATATGACAGGGATGTAGTCTTACCTATAGACAATCTGTTACGACCTAGGAGGAAATATTTAGGAGAGGATCATCACCATATAGTTTTACAACAACAGCATAAGATTTTTACACAGGTGAGGAGGAGGATTCAAAGAGCCCAGAAAAGGTGAAATGATAAAATAAATAAAAATAGAGAAGTTTCCTTCCAGATAGGTGATCCAGTGTATTATAAAATACACATGAGAGAAGGTAAATTGGACCAGAGATGGAGTCCATACTATAGGACCGTGGAGCAGCCAGTTCCGGTTTCCTTTGTGATCTGGGACCAATTGACCGGACAGGTAAAGAGAGTGCATGCGAATGATATAAAGCTAGCTGAAATAGGAGTATCAAAAGGAGCTGAAACAAAAACTCAACAGAAAAGGCTGAGGAAAACTACGTTGGTAGAACCTGAAGGGTTAAAGACGGAGAGTGAAATTGAAGGGAGTAAGGAGATTGAAATAAGCCCAACTACTCTACAAAGGCTGAGGGAGGTAAGTCAGACCCCAGCAGCACATTCTGAGGAAGCAGGGATTGTCCCTAACCTTAGGGAAGAAGAAGAAAGAACTGAGTGAATGGGAAGAAGAGGATGAAATTGCAGAACAAATTGCGGGCTGAAAAAGCACCTAGTGTTGATGAGGAATTACCACTAAAACGGAGATTGAGAGGAGCGGTGCAACCTGAGCCCAAGGATTAAGTGAAACCAGTACAGTGGCTGTGGTGAATGAGTGACGGTCTGGTACTAACTGTGAATTTATCATCAGTGCTGGTGAACTGTGTGGACAGGCCCCCATGCATGCACGGCGCTGGTGGTGGTGTGGGTCGGCACTTGAGGTATCGCTCTAAGATGTAACCATCCAATAAAAACAATAAGAGAATGATTGAGTAAGGCAAAGTATTCTCTCCATCTTTGCAGACATTGACGAGAGGAGGTCGTGGGACTGACGATGCTAGTTGTGGTAGCTTATACCTGGGAACACAGTGAGAATACTGTATTTAAGAAGACTAGCGAAGTGATTATAACTAGATCAAAGTGGTTGATAACTTTGGTGATGGACCTGCAGCCGTATGAGAAGTTACTAGGTCAGTTGAAGACCGAAGTGGACAAACTAGATACAGCCAGGACCCAAGTCGCTGGAGATTATTTACAGACTCCGGAATACCACCATATATTATACCCCTTAGCTCAGGAATCCCTAATACTTGAGATATGAGTTACTATTTGAAAGGAATAAAGTTGTTACGGACCAGGCAAAAGAGGGCAGTATTACCTATAATGGAAAAGGTATTAAGCGTGTTGTTTGCTACAGTCTCCGAAGACGAAGTGAGAATAATTAAGAGGAAATTAAAGGTGGTAGAACAGAGACAACAAGCAATGGCTCAGTCGGTTAAAGAGAGCGTATCCATACTCAATGTTACTCGGCTGGAATTGGCTAAGAATAGAGGGAGTATCAATTGGTTGATTTCTCACCTATGGGTTTTTAGAAAAGAAGTGATAAATGTAACCATGTCTGTAACAACCAAATTACAGAAATTAGAGGGGTTTTTGCAAAGGTATTTTCAATTATTAGCTATAATGAGTAAGGTACATCAAACAAGTCACTCTTTAACAGTGTTGTTAAAGCATGTGAGAGCACAATTAGACATGCTGTCGCTGGGGCACCTGTCTCTGAGTATAATAACTCTGAAACGATTAAGAGAAGTTTGAAGAGAATGAGGCTTTGTTAGAGCTGGTAGGAACGAATACCAGTGGATGGACGGGATTGTGGGAACCCACTGTAAGAGATATCGCTAGAAAAGATGCCGGCGTTGTTAAGGCCAATCGATAAGATTGATCTTGGACGGTTGAAGTTGGAGTTAGATAAGATAGGTACACCGAATTCAGGCTGGAGAGAGAATTGGGTTGCTATAATAACCTGGCCGACTGTTGTGGGAATTATACTAATGATAGTTGTGGCCTTGCTAGTCTGGTGGTGGTTGAAGAGGCGTGCTGTGTTGTCGACCAGGCAGAACAAATTGGCACGGGAGTGCATGAGTGAAGGAGGGATTCCAGTTAGTGCACTTTACCAAGGTAGGTTCGACCCGAGTGCATTGGGACCCCTAACTGATATTAAAGAAGAGTCCACGATTGTCGTGGAAGGACCTGAATCAACGAAAGATTCGACAAAGCCTCTTGTGAAGGTGAGACAAAATCAGAGGGACAGATTTACAAAATAAATCGAAGTTTTCTTTTCTTTTTTTTTTTGTAATGAGATAATTGAAAAAAAAAAACAAAACAAAAAAATAACTCGGACTAGTGAACTATGTGAAAAGGTTCTACTGCATGAGATCACCACAACAGTAAACCTTAATCAGAAGTTGCATGTACATATGTATCTAAGGACAATGAAAATGTAAATGGGCATAATGAGCCCTAAGAAGAACTGAGGACTCTACCTTTGCATGCTGGAAGGGATGCATGTTTAAGTAGACCCTAGTCAGAATCATGTTGGACTGGATTTTCTCATATTTTGTTGATAGGAAAGCTCGTGTGTCATTTACTTGTAAATGACAGATGGGTAGGGGAGGAAACGTAATGGAGAGTTTGGGAAACACACGCACGTATATTTTTTTTATTGAAATTGGAGTAGATTTTAACATCGAAATTAGATCAGAACAATTTTGTTTACTGGTGAAAATCTGATCTAGCCCATTTGGATTTGGTTTTGTGAAAAAGAATGGAAATGATCAAAATAAATCTTATTGGTTAAAATTTGAAATATAGCTTACTAAGGCTATGAGAACTTTGAAATTCACATGATTTTGATTTGAAAACAGCACTCGTGATAATTACATGCAGGCCAAGGGTCGATTTATGATCAACCAGATTTATCTATACAAACGTGTAGTTATGCTGAATAAGAGGAGGCAGTCGAGTGAGACTGAGGAGGCCAGACAGGAGAGGCCACGATCAGTTGGCACGTCAGCGTCGCTGCGTACCGTCACATGCGTGGACACCTGCAGGCAACCGTTACGGGTTGCGGTGCTACAGAAATCTTTTCACAAAAAGAGTGGTTGGCTCGTCTGCCTTCGAAAGCAGTTGAGCTGGGTGGAGAGAGGTCAGAGACTGAAAGTGACGCAAGAGATTGGAACCAAACGCCTGCTAACATATGTTGTTGATATAAGTACGAAGAAGTGAATTACACCTCCAACAATCTAAGACTGCTACTATTATTACTACCACTGGAAACAGAAACATTGAACAAGCTACAATAACTAAAGGTTGTCTTCGAGTGCAGTCGAGCTGGGTGGAGAGATATCGGAGATTGAAAGTGACATCAGAGATTGGAACAAAACCCCCGCTAACATGTACTGTTAATATAAGTACCAATGCTTCTGCTACCAAGAAGATTACTACTACTGTTACTACTGCCGAGGAGGAATGAAACTATAAACTTTAAGCCACGCCACGAAATCTTTATCTCTCCATCGCAAGAGTCACATATCGTTCTGAGATGATTTAACAACAAGTTAATGAAAACCCACTCTCTCTCTGTCTAGAATCCAGTGTATGAGTTTTTCTTTTTACGTCAAATAATTTTCTTTTCTGTAACCCGTTTCTTTTCTATACTATTCTTTTTTGCTATATAAAAGACATTAACTCAATCATTCAATAGTTGTTTGTCCGGCTTTCTGCAGATATATATTTTTTGGGGCGGGTGCATTCTAAATTTCTTAGCACAGACTCTCCAGTTGTGTCTACATCTTCAGTCAAATGTGAATGGATGAATATCACTTCTGCTTTCTGGATCAAACCAAACACAATGTGGTCAGGAAGCAGGATTAAACCAGTGGACCCGTCGAATGATCTACGGATGCTCAGGGGACCTACAGTCACTCCCTTAAGTTCGGTTAAGACCAAGTAGATACCTCAACCCAGAGAGTAAGACATCGGAGGTTGAGGGGCTGGGGCCAAAGTGTTAGAATGCAGAATCAATACTTGTAGCATTGACGATGTCATCAACTCATATGATTACAATTAGTATTTGAAATATTTTTTGTGTAAATGCAGTCATGCTAAGGAGCAGGAGAAACCCTAGCTAGTTAAATATGTGTGAAGTTCAGTATTTCAGTTTCACCTGGCAAATGAATCTTATGTTCTACATACACATTGCAGTCAATCAGAGCATTTAAGTATGTGGCGAGGAGATAAATTGTGTTGAAAAGCTAATTGCATTAAATCTTTACAGATGATAAATGTGCTGTGAGAGAGAATGTTTAATTACAATCTATTCTGGTAGTCTGTAAGCTTTGATAGCAAAATGAGCCTTGTATTTTTCATCACTATTTTTATTATTTTTAATAGTGCTGACCCATCGAGTTTTACCATTTGGGATCAAAGTTAATTCATATGTATCATTCATTTTTAGAGTATTTGTTTTACTTTCCATGGCTTCACACCATTTTATAGAGTAAAGTAATAATTTCAATATAAGTATTGTGTATATATTCTATAGAACAGCAAAAGTCTATAGTGGGACTTACCAAATTGTCCAAACTTTTAACAACAATCTTAAATATTCAAGCATTTTTCATGTCATGTATTTTCTGGTAGATGTTTCCTCACTTGTATTATTTTGTGTATTGTTGGTTGGATTATCTGTTTATGTAACTTGACTTTGCTTACCCTCATCACAAGGATTTCTCTTCAAATAATTGGGAAGTAATGTAGCATTTTATTCAATTGGAAGTTTAGGAAATTTACTTTTTTGACCTTTTTAGTATCTGGAATATAGACTAGATATGCAGGATTACCTTTTCACATCTGGCATCTAGTTTCTTTTTATCCTTGTATATAGGCATAACAGTGTCCAAAATATTCATATTACATGAACATTTCAAACCAGTTCTTCCCATCCTTTGACTATAACATCTATTTCTTATGTAGGTGGCTGTCATAACAGCATATGTCCATAATTATTTTGATAATTTGGATTCAATTAATAGACATCTTTCCATTTCAAAGAGTAATTGCCATGATCTTTCCACAATACCATTTTGATATGCCAAACATGGGGCTGATTTTTTCTTTTAATATGGTTGTTGATTAGAAGGGTTTCAAAATTTTCACAAGTAAATTCTGTGTCATTATGAATTCCTATGCATTTACAGATCTATATGGAGCAATATCTGCCAAATATTTCTTAGTAGCTAAAAATGTATCACCTTTTTGTTTAAGAAAATAAATCCGAAAAGTCATCAACAAAAACTTGGTTACTCAGGGATATAGTCTCAATTGGAACAGATAGATCGCAGTAAATGAGCTCTAATATTTTATTAGCCTTTTTGTCGGGTAATTTATTTTTATGTTGTAACAATTTTGTCTTGGATACATATTTCACAATATATATTTAATTTTTTTTAAATTTTCATAGCTTCTGTGTCTTGTAGTTTTAAAATGTCTTATATTACAATGCCCAAGTATTTCATGATGTTGTTTTAAGCTGTGTGCAGCAGTTTTGGATGATACTTCACAGTTTCTCTTTTTATATTGAATTTTATAACATTAGGGTATATAATCTCCAAATAATTACAGCTAAATTTGACAGAATTTCATTTCCATTGAATTTACAGGCTGCCTGTATAGAGAAAATATTCTGCTTAAATGTAGGAATAAAGGGAATCCTTTAAAATACAATTTTGCACATTTCCTTGTGTGTCTTAAAGTAAGTTGAGCATTACCTCTTTTTAAGGCAATATTATTTTCTTTACTGTCTGTACTATAAAATGGTTTTCTGAATTAAAATCATTGTCAAAATTAATAAATTTGGATTCATCACTAACAATCTGAGTTGTAGCTTCACAGTCAACAAGTAATTTTGGTAATAGTGTCAAATCCAGCTGAAAATAGAAATGTATTTTCATTTTAGTGTTCATTTTTTACAAAATAGGGCTTTCTTTTAGTTTTTAATCTCAATAATTTTATGTCCATGTTTACCACATGCATGACAAATAATATTGTTGCTGGGTGAATTGAAATTATAACATTGTGAGGAGGAATTATTTATTGAAAAATTTTGATTTTTACTTCAGCAGTTTATGGTTTTGTAGGCTGGTTTATCACATTTATAGCAAGTGGGAACATTACTTTGTAACTTTGGTCTTTATCATTGCATCTTAAGTGCCATTATCATATTTTCACTGTTATCTTCAATCATATTTTCAGTTTCTTCAAATCTGCATAATGCTACTTTAATTTCACTGAATATTAGTTTTGTATTTTATGAATAATAACAGTTTTGAACATTTTAAATTTAGATGGGAGGCTTTATACTTAATACTTTTTCTTACTTGCTTTCTGTAAGGAAGTTAATCCAGTATAGATGGAAATTATTTTCAGTTTCTCTTTTGATAAGTAATGTTCCCTCAAAATTTGAAGTACTTTTCTGCCATTTTCAGGGGTTTCTCGCCTCAAGAAATTGAATTAATTTAACAAATGCCTATGCATTCTTTTCATAGTAATTTTCCTTATTGAGACATTCATATGGTGCCAAAATAATTCATGTAATGTTTGGATCTGAAAATTTTACTTCCCATAATTCATATTTGGATTAGTCGCCTTTAAAACAGAGCCTGTAGAGTAAGTAGGTATTATTAGGTTTTTCAGTAACAATAAAAAAGAAGAATAGGGCAAAATAAGACATGACAACACAAGGCAGCTATAAGACAGTAACAAAGTAAATGGTTGAAAAGAAAAATGAAAAATGTGTGGGTAAGACCATTATCCATTTTTATTGCCTGGGAAGAAATCCTAGCATGCATCTGTAGAATTTGTGTATAAATTTGTGGAGTGGATTTTTTTAGCAGTTATTCCTATTGTTTTACTGACATTTTTGTGACTTTTTTTTCTATTTTGTGGAATTGTATAGTTTTTCTTCTTTTTTTTTAATTTCTGACCATTTCTGAATTTATTTTTAAATTCTGACCTTTATTCAAGGAATTTTTGTTCTGAGAAGTGGTAGTACTTCTCAGCATTATGACTGACAAAAAATCA